GTGTAAATGAGGAGCGTAAACTGATGAATGCGTATCAGGTGCACGCGCACGGGGAGAAGTGAATAGCATGATTACCACCCCAAAAAACACCATATAAGGCTACGTTTCCTGCCACACATACCAGAAAGTGTCCATTCATAAATGACATCGCAAAGTAAAAAAGAAGAACTTTACAAGTTTTTGAAGATTGAAGTCCTGCTCTCAGAGATCCAGAAAAAGAGAGTAATTTTTAGCAGCGTCAGACCTGCTAAAGCCGAAGAGTGAAATGTGCTGTTAATGTCGTGTCTCCTGTGGGTCGTATACAGACACAGAAATAAAAATCTAAATCATATTCATCTCTCTCTCTAGTCCTGCTCTGGTTTTTCTTTGGTCAAATATTTTTAATCTAAGTGTAAATAACTGTRTTACATGGTTTTCATTTATGCAGAAGGAGAGCAGTCRCGCACCGCCACCGCTTCATGTTTACCCAGATCCAAAACTGCAACAACTTCTCAAAACCAACAGACAAACTGTGTTTAGAGATTGTTTTGAATTTGAAATCAATTTTAAGGTTTAGAAATTGCTATTCAGATTTCAGTTTAAAGTCCTGTCATTTAAACCTGAAATTATTTTTATTGTTTGTGTTGTGGCTCGCAGGGTGAGAGGGGTTTACCGGGTCTCACTGGACAGCCGGGCGTCCCAGGCTTCCCCGGACCTGAAGGACCCATCGGACCTAGAGGGGAGAAGGTGAGTTCAGTCTGTCCAAGGCTCAGGGGTGTTACAGCGGGGCGGGGGTGGTGGGGGGACCAATCTCTGCTTACTGGGGGTTACTGGTTCAATCTCCCACCCCGCCTCTGTCAGTATGCCCAAGAAAGCTGTGGCTACAATGTAGCTTACCACCATCAGTGTGTGAATGGTTGTAGTGTAAAGTGCTTTGGGTTCTGTAGGGACTTGATACAGCACTTTACAAGTTTCATTTATTTACCATTTTCCATTTTGGAGCACCCATGGTAAAGCAAAGACGTCACGAGACGTAACATAGCTGTTCTTTCAACCTCAAATGTTAATTTTACCTCTTAAAGTGCTTTTGATTTGAAATGGCACTGCAACTAAACAAGAGAAGAGGAACAGTCATTTTTTACAAAAAGCTGTCACAGGAACCATGCCCAAATAAGGACGAAGTTGGCTACTTTTTGTTTTGTTTTGTTTGGAAGTAGAGATGCTAACAAGAACTATTGTTAGCATTAGCATTCGTACAGAGGAAAACAAAAATAAAATGAACACAGCTGATACCAAATCTCCACTTATCCTCATTCACAAGCTAACGTTAGCATTGTACAGGGCTCTCAAGTCTTATGCATTGACCATGAGACACGCACATTTTAGGACGTGCACACGACACACTTTGCATTTCTCACACAACACACACACGGCCATGAATGCGCGCATGCATTTTTTGAAGAAGAACGAACGTTTTCCTCTCTGGTTGGACAGACCCGTTTGGATGAACCGCTCACTTTGCCTGAAAAGATCCATCTCCGCCTATTTTTGTGTTTTTATTCCTGCATTGGGAGTCCTGCACACCTGCACGCTGCGTTCAGAGCCGATCGCTCCTGTCAATCACCCATCTGCGCTGCGCGTTGTTATAAAAAGCTGCAGCAGTGTGAGACGAGACCCCAGCTCAGAACAAACCTTTCCACTTGTTGATGTTTTTATCACAGTTAAAAAAAACTCTGTTCACTGCGCGTGCAGCACATCACCTGCAAACAGCTGGATCAGCATCAGAGCCATGTTAGATAAAGGGATAACCTGGCTATTTTTAAAGCAGGGCTGCAGGTCAGAATTTATAACAAAGACCTCACATGATGTTAGTGCTTGGAGGAGCTAAATTGTTTTTATTAGGGGCAGGTGTACGTTGTTTTTCTTCTTCTTTTTGCCCCTTTTTCATTCAATAATTGATTTACTTTGTTTTTTTAATGGACTTTGTTGTTTGTGTAGGAGTGAGCTTAAAGTGAATTAAGCTTTTCCCACATCTCTCATACACAAGGTTATGAGGAAACTTTTAYCAAGGTATTTCTCATTACTTGTTAATATCTTGACTGTGCGAAGTGAAAAGTGACACAATAAGTG